TTTGTGTGCGTGTGTGTGTGTGTGTGTGTGTGTGTGTGGTTTTTTTGAGGCAGGGTCTCACTGTGTGGTTGAGACTGACCTGGAACTCACTATGTAGCCCAGGCTGGTCTCAAACTCACAGCGATCCTCCTGCCTCAGCCTCCTGAGTGCTGGGATTACATCGTGCACCACCACACCTGGCGGTTCCTCCACTTTCCAGCTGTGCAGGCTGAGCAAGTCACACTTCCCTTCCTCACCCAGAAAGGAGGAGTAATAGTGTCAGCTTCCGGAGCCAGTGCGAGGACGAGATGAGACAGTGGTGCATGGAGAGCTTGGCACTGCCCCTCTCACAACTTTCTGAGAGGGAGGAACAGCCACGCACGAATGAAGAAACTGAGACTCAGACTGTGAGATGACTCGCTGAAGACACAGAGTGACTGGTAGCAGAGCTGAGACCCCCACATCAGCTCCTGGGCCAAAGAGCCAAGTTTTTTAGCCATCAGGTTGTATACAAACACTATTTTGATTCCTACCTTTTGGATGAGGAAGTTAAGCTTAAAAAAAAAAGAGAGAAAAGAAAGAACCTGCCATGGTCACGGAAAAAAACTAATGGTAAGAGAGGAATTTGAATCCGGACTTCTGGTGAAAAGCCTGTGGTCTCCCTGTGGATATGCAAAAAGTAGATGGGTGTGGAGAAGCTCCAGATTTCCAGGGCCTTTTAAACCCAGAGCAGGGATGAAGGCAAACTGGGGGATGGGGGGGGGTGCGCGCACGCGCATCCTCCTTGAGAAGAAACTGGAAGAAGCTGGTGAAACAAAAGCCTCTTTCTCAGAAGGCATCTCTGGGGACTGGGCAGAGAGGAGGGGTCTGACAAGTAGGCCTGCATCCTGTCTGGGCGAAGCTGAAGGCCAGATCTAAACAAGCAAAAGCAGCTCCAGCTTGGCCATCACCCTGCTACATGAGTCTCATTCATTCTGTCTCTCCCTCCTCCCCTCCCCTCTCCCCCTTCATCTTATCTCTGTCTCTTCAACTCCCGAATGATACTAGATGTACTAAAGGGTGTCAAGATCCCTTCCAGTTATGGGAGACCAGCAATACCTTTTCTTACAAGCTCCAGACTCCTGATCAGGCCCTGCTCCTACAGCTTCACATGGTGGCTTCCTAACCTGTCTCCTAAATCACAACAGGGTTGGGCAGTCCTTTGTTCACGTTTTGGCTGTAAAGCTAGGTGACTTCCCTTTGACAGGCCTTTACTTCTTCATTTATAGAAAGGGGACTTGTGGGCCAGGCGTGGTGGCGCACGCGTGTAATCCCAGCACTCGGGAGACTGAGGCAGGAGGATCTCTGTGAGTTCAAGACCAGTCTGAGCTACATAGTGAGTTCTAAGTCAGTCCAACCACATAGTGAGACCCTGTCTCAAAAACAAACAAACAAAAGGGGGACTTATCTTTGCCTGATCACTGTCAGGAGGAAGGACCTAAGGAGCTACCCTCAAGGTGAGCAGTCCCTAGAGGTGTCATCCAAGGCAGCCCCCCATCCCCACCCAAGCTTTTGCACTCAAACTCTCAACTTCTTCCCCTGTGATCCGTGTCCCAATGAGACAAGGACATAACTGAATCCAAGCTGATGGATGCAGCAGTAGTAGCATCAGGCCTCCTAGCAGCAGTGTCAGCCATCACTAACTTTAATACAGGGCTGCTCAGACGTGCCAGGAATGGTGCTGAATGCTTCCCTTGCATTGTCCCAGGTAATCCCCTCGGTCACCACTGGTCTCAACTGACAGATGACAGACTAAGGTTCAGCAGAGGGACGTGCCCAAGGTCACACGCAGAGCAAGTGAGAAGATGGCCAGGAAGAGAACCCATAAGAAACTTACCTTGGAGGCCACGAGTTATCCAGAATAACATTCTACCACACAGCACAACCACTTAACATTCTACCACTTAGCATCCCCAAACCTCCTCAAGCAACTAGTATTCATATAATGTATATTATTATTCAAGGGTGTCCAACTCAACTGTCTGGCTACAACAGCATGGTCCAATAGAGATATAATGTGAAGCTCATACCTGTAGTCCCAGCTACTCCAGAGGCTGAGGCAGGAGGATCACTTGAGCCCAGGAGTCTAAGGCTAACCTGAGCAACATAGCAAGGCCCCATCTTACACACAAAAAGAAATGTAATGCAAGTCACATATGTAATTTAAAACTTCCCAGGCCTAGTATGTGGCTCAGTGGTATAGTGCCTGCCTGGCAAGCACAAGGTCCTGAGTTCAAGCCCTGATACCAAAACAAAACAAACAAACAAAAAACTTCCCTGTAGCCACACTTTAAAACAGAATAAAGAAATGCCAGGCATGGTGGTGCACGCCTGTAACCCCAGCACTCGGGAGGCTGAGGCAGGAGGATTGCTGCGAGTTTGAGACCAGCCTGGGCTACATAGTGAGTTCCAGGTCAGTCTCAACTACATAGTGAGACCCTGTCTCAAAAAACCAAAAATAAATAAATTAATTAATTAAATAAAATAAAAAAGAATAAAGGAATAGGTGACATTAATTTTATAATATAGTTAACCAAATATATCAATTTCAGCATGTGCTCAATATAAAAAAATATTATTTAGCCTGGTATAATGGCACACACTTGCAATCCTAGCTATTCGAGAGGCTGAGGCAGGAGGGTCACACCTTTGAGGTCAGCAAGAACAACTTAGGTAGAACTTATCTCAAAAAAGGAACAAAGATGGGGACCTAGCTCAGTGGCAGAGCATTTTCCTAGCATGGGGAGCACTGGCTTCAACACCTAGTACTGCCAAAAAGAAAACAGAAGAAAGTGTTTAGGGATCTTATATTTTTTCTTTTCATACTAAATTTTCTAAATCTAATGTACCTTTTACATTTACAGCACATCTTGATTCAGATGCTGAATTTTCATCAAATATTTAGATTCTCTTAGCCTTCACAATTGAAAAAGTATATTTATGAATCTAAGTTCCCTAACACTTATAGAGATGTATGTATAACTTGAATTTTTTTCTCAATGAATTTATTGGTACTTTTTAGATGAGTTTTTAACTAATTAAAATTAAATAGCATATCAAATAAAAATTCAGTTCCTCAATCACACTAGGCACACGTGACCAATGGCTGCTATGGGGGGCTGCAGCTCTGCAGTCAAGTTCTCGGGCACAGGGGCTGGTGGCCTCCTTGGCTCTAACCCCAACTATGCCTCTGAGGTAAAGTCGTGTCTGAATAGTATGGTTTCTACTCATTTAACAAATCCCCATAGAGCCTAATACTAATATCTACCTCTGGTACCTGTCATATTCACAAAGACAGCGACAAAGAGATGTGAGGACCCCATGTTCAAAGCATAACACTGGCTCAGAGAAGTAGGCCACCTGCACAAGGTCACCAGCTTTGATGGGCCCGCTGACTTGAAGCCTTAGCTCCGACCCTAAAAGGTGGCAGGGGCCTGCCCTGAGGCTTGGTTTCTAAGGAAAGAAATAACCCTTTGCCCTATTCTCAGGGGGCCCTGCTCCCCCAGTCTAGTGGCAGAAAATGGCCCAAAATAGAAAACCCAGAGAAGAGGCTAAAAGGGACAGAGAGCAGGAGAAAGATATGCTCTGTGAACTGTGTTGTGTGGAGGACCTGTGAGGAGGGCTTAGGCCACTGCGATCCTATCCTAATCCCCTCACTGCTACCTAGCAAGAGGCAAAGCCAGTACTCTGGGTGGGTCCTCAGGGCTCTGCCACCCTCCCCCAAAAGCTCTCACGTAGAGACCCTTGGACTAGGGCCAGAGCCAGTACTCACCTTCCAGGGTCACCTCAGCTGGTGGCAAGGGAAAGAGTCCAAGTAGCAGCCTGCCTCCCTGGGGGGGAGAGGGCTCTGGAAACAGATCCCAGAGTAGGGAAAAGGTGGCAGGTAAAAGCCAGAAAAACCTGGGCTCCACCCACACTAAGGAGTATGGCCAGCCTGCAGTCCCCTCCCGCCTGCCCAGCACTGTGAAACTCTCACCAGTTATTAGGTTTAACAATTAACTCTGATTGGTTTCCAGTTCAGCAGGAGGTAGTTCCAGCTAGAAATCCCATGGGGTGGGGGGTGGGGTAGCAGGACTTGGAAGGGGCAGAGAGTGAGAAGGAAGAGGGGGACCAGAGACTTCTCACCTCCTCCCCCCGCCTCTTTCTACCAATGTGGCACAGCCCTCTGCGCTAAAGGGTGGTGGCATAAATTCCATGAGACTAGGAGTCATGCCTGGCAGGTACTCAATAAACATTTTTAATCAAGAAATAAGGTGCTGGATATTAAAACAGGTTAGATGGCTGAACAGGCTGATAGAGGAGCAGGGAATGAAAGCAAGACATGGTTTGGCCTGGGCCGGGTGCTCCTTGACCCTTTCGATCCCAGGACCTCACAAAGACTGGGACAGCAGCCATCTAGGGTTGAAATCTCCCAGCCCTGGACAGATGTTGCTCCTGACTCCTCTTCCTAGCAGGGCCTTGGAAGGCCCTGGCTTCTTCACAGTTAAGGAGGCGATACCACCCCAGCACAGGGCAGGATGGTGCCAAGCCCAAAGTGCTAGGGGGCCTGAGCTGTTCTAGTGCAATCTCTTGCTGCTTGGCAACAGCCACCTCTTCTCAGGCCACCCCCTGATTTCCCCCACATCCCAATATTCCCCTGGCTCCCACCTATATGGCCCTTTCTTCTTCTCCGGAAGGAAAGCCTGGAATGGTGACGGCTCCAACCCACTTGAATCCCACTCACCTGAAATCACACATGTCCTGGCAACAGATTGCTCCCGATTTGATGTTGGTTCATCATTTGCATCCTCCTCGGGTTCCCTGGTGCCTTCCTCATCCTTCTCCCTGCCCCCTAACACAAGTCTGGGTTCGCAGCCCACCACAAACTCATGGGGGCCAGTTCCTCCAAGGTTCCTGGGCAATACCTCCCTGTCCTGGGTTTCTGCTTCCCGCCTGTCTGATGTGGTAGAAGGAACTGGATTAAGAGATCATAGCTTCTGCTCTGATCTTTAGAAATTCTGACATTTCTGGGATCATTTTGTACTTGAACTTCAGAGAAATCAGTATTCATATAGTAACCTTGGTCAGATACACAAACATCCCTGTAGAGGCCCAGAACTAAAGCCCAATGAAGTCATTCTCAGCTCCAACCCAGACAGGGATGGGCCAAGCTCTGTGCTCCCTGATCCCAGCCCTGCTTAGAGCTTCCGTGGCTTCCCGATGCCTCCACTGTAAAGGCCTCACTTTCCTGCCGTACCTCCCAGCCTTCTCTTCTGCTCTCCTTAGCAGCATTGAGAACCATCACTCCTCCCCATGCTTCTTGGCAAGACAAAGCTTGACACGCCCTCCACCTGAGGTACTGACTCGGAGCCCCTTTCCTGTGCAGATTCTGGAGCTGCCTCAGCTTCCATTCTGCTCTCCCTGCACCCTGCGCCCTTCACACTTATGCTTCTCCATCCTCCACAGGAAACACCTGCCTCCCAGGCTCTTGGTGCCCTTTCTGCTTCCTGACACTCCAGCTCAATGTCACCGATGGCATCTACAAGACCGTTCACCGCTCAACTCACTCAGCCACGTCTCTGCTACATGCTGACTCCCTGTGTTAGGGCCTCAATGGCTCTACTTGACCTTCAGACCCTGGAGACCCTGGAAATCCTGTTATGACTACTACTATCTCCCTCTGGCCTCCCAGCACAATGCTCAGAATATAGTATGTGACTGCTGAAACTACAGGATAATTACCATTAAGTAAAAAATAATGAACTAGAATTGTTTACCAGGTATTTGATCTTTACAGTGTTATCGGAGCACACACATAAAACTTCAGTTAACTTTCCCCAGCCCCCCAGTAGACTTGGTATTCCTATGCCTAAACTGACAAAACTGAGGCTCAGAGAGAGGAAGTAACTTGTACAAGGTCACATAATCAGGAAATGGCAGTATCAAGACTGGAATTCAAGTTCTTAGCCAGTGTCTTACTTAGCCTGTTTCCAAGCCCCGAATAAAGGAGGGGATATGTGAGAAGTTGTGGCCTGCCAGTAATGTTGGCTAGAGGAGCACCAAAGAAATGAGCCCACCCCAACAACAGAGACAGATTCTGCCAATGAAACTTCACAAGCCTGGAGTAAGTGCCTACTCTGTGCATAGCCTTATGCTAGGGAGCAAAGAATGAGACATGAGACATTCCACTATTTAAAGGCTCATAACCTAATGAGCGAGACAAGCCACCTCCCTTGATAAAGCTAAGACTGAGCAGAGCTTGCCCCAGAAGGGAACAGATAAGGTGTTAAAGGAATGCAGAGGAGGTAAAGAGAATCTCATTGTGTGGTGGGGAGGGCTCACCGGCTTTGTGGGACAGAGGCTGGCATCTGGGCTGAGCCTTGACAAAGGGACAGGATTTTGACAGGGATTGGGGAGGAATAATAGAGGGAGCAAGGGCAAAGACACAGGTGAGTGCTGGGTGCGTCCCAGGAGCCTCTGGAAAGGCGTTTTCCCAGCCCTCCCCTTGGCACTGGCCCAGATGTCCAGCCATGAGCTTCCCCAGACTCACAGGCACCTGGTGCGTTTAGAGTAAACGGGCAGAGAAAGGAAGAGAAGGCCTGGGCGCCTGGGAGTGCGATTTAACAGAAATCAGAATGCATCCAACCGGAATCCTAGGAGATAGAAATGCCCAAGAGGGCAGCCCCACTACAGGCAAGTGAAACGAGGAAGGCAGCAAGAACATCAGAGAGCATGGGGTGGGCAGCGGGGGACCCAGCTTCCAAAAACCCAGATCAAGCTATCCAGGACCTTGATGTTATCCTGTTCAACGTCCATTTTACATTTGGGAAAACTGAGGCCCAGACAGGAAGGGTCTGGACCATAGTCCCTCAACACCTGTTTAGCAAAGCCAGCAGTGTACCTAGAGACACCAGGGACCAGCCTCCTTCATCTGGCTCTGCCATCAGCTTCCTGGTGACTCTTCTCCAGACATTCTTTCCAACCCATTAAACGGCCCTGAGGACACTGGCACTGGCAGTGTAGTGCACTGGATGCTGGCACTGTGGAAAGGTCAGGGCCCCTTAAGTTACATACCGCTCCTCCCTGAGGTTCCAGTCAATTGCAGATAGGAACTTCTCCCTCAGAACTTGTCCTGGCGCTTTGAAGTACTGTGTCGGATGTGGGATGTCCACTAAGTGAGCCAGAGCTGTGTGGTGGCAGAACCGTCTTTTCGGACTTCCACAAGACAGCGGGTTCCCCCTGTCGGCTGTCCTGACCCCCACAGAGAGGAGTGTGCCCAGGAAGCCAGCTGCACCCGGCAGGTCAGCTAATTCTAACCTCAAAGACCAAGCGGCTCCGTTTTCTCCTTGTCTCAATTTTCCCTCTCTGAGCAATGAAAAATAAATTTATCATTTATTTCTTTTGGGGGAAAAAGGAAAGAAAAGAAAGGTCAGTGCCCCAACGTGGTAGAGAGCATAGGCCTAGGAGGCAGGAGTCCTAGACTGGAAAAGCTGCTCTTAGGAGTAATTTGTTCTTAGAATCTGAGCAAATGTATGCCCTTCTGTGGAGCCCTACGTGTTCTTGCAGGCCCATCCGGGCAGTCAGTATGGGAAAGCCTCAAGAGTACCTGTGGCCTTTGGACAGATCCAGATTTAAATCCCAACTTAGTAGTTGCTAGCTGAGGGCTAGAAAGGCCTGGGTGAGTTATTTAGCTTCCTTTGAAGAAACAGGGACTGCAACCTCTGCCATACTTGGTAATTGCTAGGATTAAAAGACATAAAGTAGCCAAGCATTGTGACACATTACTGTAATCCCAGCACTCTGGTAGGCAGAAGCAAGAGAATCACAAGTTTGAGTCCAGCCTAGACAATTTAGTGAGAACAAAATTCTGTCTCAAAATAAAAAAGGCTAGGATGTAAAGGTGTCGGGTTCAATCCCCAGTACCAAAAAAAAAAAAAAAAAAATGCTGTAAAGCACATGGAGCACTTAGCACAGGCTTGGCACACAGAAATCAGTAAAGGCTGTAGTGATTTCTAAGGCACAGGGTGAACCTCTTGTGAAGATCATCTAGGCTTTCTAATTCTCCCAAAACGGCCATCTGAAGTGGGTTTGAAAACTTAACCCTTAGACTTCTAATCTAGAGAGAAGGTGGGGAGAGGAAAGAGGGAAGACAAAGAAAAGAGAATGAGAGAAAACCCCAAAAGTGGAGGAAAGGAAGGGGGAAGGTTCAAGGGGCTCAGGGTGAGGGAAAGGAAGATGACTTGATGGAAACTGCCAGAACAGGGTAAGCCTCTCTTCTCTCCAGAGCCTCCCCATGGCAAGGCTTAGAGACACAGCCTGCCAAAAAGTGCCACCCTGGCTGTCAATGGAGCATTGAAGCCTTGGGTTACCTCCACGTGCTACCTCCCCATGCTGCTGCCTGGTGGTGGCTTCCTCCCCGCCCACTGGAGCAGACAGGGATGCTCACAGCCAAGCCCATAACCAAACAGTGTGCTGATTGGGAAGCAGCACAGGCTCACTCAGGGACCCAGAGAGCCCTTTCTTGCCATTCTGATCCTGACTCAGCAGGAACCTTCCCTGCTAGGTCCCTACCTCTGGGACCTACACAAAGAGCCCCCCAGGCCTCTACATGCCCCCAGATCCTACTTCTGGGGCTAAAGTTGCAACTGGGGAAAAATATTATTCAGCCCTTAAACAGGAGCTGTGAAGCAAGTATTCTAATTGCCACTGGCTGGCTGTGTTAACTTTGGATGTCACTTCTTTTTTTTGTTTTGTTTTGGGTTTGTTTGTTTGTTTGTTTTTGAGACAGGGTCTCACTATGTAGTTGAGACTGACCTGGAACTCACTATGTAGCCCAGGCTGGTCTCGAACTCACAGCGATCCTCCTACCTCAGCCTCCCTAGTGCTGGGATTACAGGCGTGCGCCATCACGCC